GTCGGCTCGTGTGGTATCTATAGAAATTGCTTATAAATAAAACATACAGTATATGAATAAAAGCTTCTTTTTTTCAAGCAAAAAAGTCAGTTCTTTATTTATCTAGTTCTTTATTTATCTAGTGAAGACCCATCTCATCAAGTAGGCTAAAGGTGTTTTATCTAGAAGTCCTTGTCCGAGAAATCTGGTCCATATCTGGTTAATATCAAATGTCACATATTATAATGAGAATCTAGAGTCACGCACACGGCCCCACTTTATTAATCAATATCTCATATCTTGATAACAGTTCATAAATGAAATACGTCAAAAACCTTTTGTTCGTCAACTTAACGAACAAACATGATCTTCCGAAGAAAGGGAATTGAAGATTGATGAAAAGATACTTGTTCGAAGAAAACAGATAATATCAACTTATCCTCTTGCTCCCTATTAGTTTGTCGTTTTCCCTAAAATAAACTGCTTGGTGGATGGGGTGGATTCTTATGTTATCATTAATTATAAGTAGCATTTATATCTCAGTATCCAGTCAAATTGCAAGTTGGGTCAGCTAAGAGGGTAAAAAGGTCCACTTTTGTGAAAATGAACCTTGATATTGCTGGCAACTCTACCATCTGTCACGCATCCAGTGTCGGGAAACAAATCTCACTACCCAGGATTTTCAAAGTGTTTATTTTCAAATATCAGGAGAACAAAACCAATCAAATTAAATATCTATGTGGAAAAAGATTCATGGCCACATGTAGGTACTTGTAAGGAAGAAATTAAATAATTTCAAGGTTAAGATCGATGATTTAATCAATTAATCTATAAAATCATCTATTTATTACATCACTACCAAATGAATGAAGTAAAATGAAGAAGGGTTAAATAAATGAACAAAAGAAAACAGTAAATTACTATTTTTTATTTTAAGTATTGACTACATCCTACAAAAAAGTAGCCTCCCATGTTTTATCAAATAAAAGCATCCGCAGATATTGATGTTGCATCGAAACGATGGGATGAAAAAGTGGATAAGCTTGCTCCTGTACTGAGAGAGTTTTATGTTATACGAGGGGTCACCAGCAGGCCTTGCATCAGTTCCACACAAACAGCAAGTACGCTGTGTTACATCAGCAAAGGTAAGTCTCGAAAATGCAGAAAACTGAATGGCCAAAACGGCGTGAGGCAGGGAATGTGTGAACGCTCAAATAAACCGATTTCGGTTGATCGTTCATGGCAGTAATCAAATGACAATGCCAAGGCGGGTGACGTCACTCGTCTTAAACAGCTAAACTATAAATTTTCAGAGAAGAAGGCATACTAGTCATCGATCTACAGAAAGGACAATGCTATTGTCAACACAAAACCAAAGTCTCGGTTTGTTTGCTGCTCAGAGCTTGTCAGCTAACAGTTTGGCCTATCAACCGGGTGATAAACCAGGGACCGTCGACCAACAAAACCACACCAATGGTACCGTCCCAGAACAATGGCCCCTTGAGAATTACTACTGTCTTGGGGTTTTTCTTGGCTTGATTGGCGTTCTGGCGTTCACTGGAAACAGTTTTATTCTCTATCTTTTTGCCAAGACTAAAGAGCTGCAGACGCCTATCAACGTGTTTGTGATGTCACTAACGATCAGTGATTTGGCCATCTCCGTGGTCGGGAACCCGTTTGCGTCGTCGTCCAGTTTTGCGTCGCGGTGGTTGTATGGAGAAATCGGATGCACTTGGTAAGTATGTGGTGGGGGTGGGGGGGGGGGGAAGTAGGGAAGGGGTAGCTTGAAACGACCCTGTAGGTACATCGGGACATCATGCTGGATTTAAAAAAGTGCTTGAATCTGCGTGAAGGAAGACTAACTTTTAAGGGTATTGCAAACCTTTATTTTCATTCAGGTACGAAAAAGTTTCTTTCATCTTATCGTTCGATAATGTATCTATCTTTGTGCTTATTCTAAAAAAACAATAAAAATCCCCTCGAAAATATAAAATATCGGTATTTATATTTCTCTTTGCAAACAAGAAGCATGGGCAACTCAAAGCTTTAATAGTCAGTTTAACACCTTTCTATTTTGAGGTGAGATGGTAATCAGTATAGTTCGTAACTTTATCCCTGAAGAAGATTTTATGACGAAAATTGTCATAGTTTATCACAAGGGTATGGGTTACAATCTTGTGCCGTCATTTTGGTTGAAATGTTTTAGTTGTGGAGTTATGAGCCCTTAATTACATATTTTCATTAAACAAAGGCGTTATTTTGCTTTATAAAAGATCAAATCTGAACTAAGGCTTTTAAGAAAAATGCTGCCAGGGTTCTGGTAGTTTCATTAAATTGGCGTTGAAACGGTGTTCGTTAATTGTTGCTCAGGTTAAGGAGAAATTTGAGAAACCGATTTTTTTAAATCAATTTTACCCTAAAATTGCAATGATGACGTCACCAATAAGAAAACATGTATTTAAATGTTAATAAGGTTAGTCACTGAACACTGAAGTGGTTATCAGTTATCCAAAAGAATGTATGTAAGGCAGTAAATAGGGAGTTTTTGGCCAAGGCTAGAGGTAACTTAAAGTAAACGTATTTTATTTAAAGGTGAGATAGCGATGGGAATTATGTCTACGAAAGCAATACAAAAGCGACAAGTAAATCATAGTCGAAGTCGCACTGTAGTCCTTACTGAACCTATGAACAGAAAGCAGCAAGTGGATAACAGCTGTTAGCTTTAGCGTTTTATTGCGCCGCTCTCACTAGCCGCCATTATTTCTGACCCCACTCTCTTCCAAATCCCTCAAAATCTTGCCAGACTTTATTCAGAGTTGTGAGATTTTGGGCTATCCCGGATGATACCATTGCTTTAATGTTTTAATGATATATGATCATATTATTAGGAAAATGCAAATTTAAAATCATTTAATATTATGCCATGTGAACAATTTTATTCAATATAGAGAAAATACCAGGCTGTAGATGCGTTATCAGTTGGGTGCAAGTGTGTTTGGATATATATCTTTTTGTGATAGTGAGCTGGTGTATATACATGTATAGGTGTGTGTGCACATGTTGGGGTGAGTGCTTTGAAATCATTTGTTCGAGTAGGTATTAAATTTATTATTCTCAAAGCAAACAATAAAAAAAGATAACACATAATTTGCCTCACTTCCACATTCTTCAACTACTTGATGTTGGTAAAAGTGTCAAAGACGGAGAACTGATTTTGAGGAGCATGAATCTTCATTCCGACAGGTGCGACGGCCGCAATGCAGTAGCAGGCTTGTGTCTCTCTCTGGCATCTCCCCAGCACCGCACGAATAGCGTGTGCAAGATGCTTTGCAAGCAGAAGTGAGATTCCAATACATAAATAGCTTAATTTCTTAAACAGCGTTTGTCGATCCATAAAGCATGTCGTGTAAACAAATAAATGACTGGATTGCCACCCGAGCCATCTCCAAGCTGTCTTGTCCATCAGCGCAAACAAAGGCGGAAGGCGGCATTGATTTTATGCCGCTGAAACGATGAATTGCCAATTACATGCCGCGCTATTCACTGAATAGATAATGTTAAGCCTCTGAATTATAAATTTCCATAGAGTATGCGTGAAAGTCAACTACCGAAAGGATAATGCTGTCATCAGCACAAAACCAAAGTTTTGGCTGGATTGCCGCCCAGAATTCGTCAGGTGTCACTTTGGCCTATCAACCGGGTGATAAACCAGGGACCCTCGACCAACAAAACCACACCAATGGTACCGGTCCAGAACAGTGGCCCCTTGAGAATTACTACTCTCTTGGGTTTTTCATTGGCCTCATCGGCGTTCTGGCGTTCATTGGAAACAGTTTGATTCTCTATCTTTTTGCCAAGACGAAAGAGCTGCGTACGCCGACTAACATATTCGTGATTTCTCTAACGATCAGTGACTTGGCTATTTCTGTTGTCGGGAATCCGTTTGCGTCGTCGTCCAGTTTTGTGTCGCGGTGGTTGTTTGGAGAAAGCGGGTGCATTTGGTAAGTCGCAATTTTTATTTATTATTTATATATTTATTTATTCATTTTTGGGGGGAGCGGGTAACCAAGGTAGCTTAGACTGGGTTCCCACAGATTTAGATCGATCCATCTGGATCGACCTAACTCCCTGGGGGTTCACGCTAGATTGCTGCCAGCTTCCGGGAGCCGAGCGCGCACAAAAGTTTATTACCCCCTTACAACTTTTAATAGGCGGGACAGACATTTAAGCGGCTAAGCTGACAGTAATCTAGTGAGAATCCCCAGGGGGATAGATCGATCTAAATATCTGTGGGAATGGTCTCTTTAATCGAGGCTTTAGAGTGCAAACGAGTGACGTCACGCGAGGTATTAAAAACGTGATAGAAAAGTCAGGTATACTTTTAATAAATGAGGGTAAAACTTATTCTACAGGGTTTAACAACATAAAAAAATGCGTATAAATATTGAATTTTTATCTTAATTGTATAGAGTGCAAAGATCAGTAACGATATGTGCTAATATGATCGCACTTACGTAACGGGGGGGGAGGGGGGGGCAGGGGGGAGGGGGGTTGTTCACCGGTTATGTATTGTCACTGGCCCTGTATTCAATGACATTTGAGCTAAACTTCGGTGATGGTGATCTTCCAGTACACACCGTGACGTTAAACGATGAAAATACAAGCTTAGGTTTGCTAAAGCCAATTTTCGTCATTATTTATATGTATGAAGAGGTATGCACTATTCTGCTCCTAATAAACCGTTAAATCTGTGAAGACTTTATCCTATGCCTTAAGTATCTATAAGTGTCCCTGACCGTATTGCCGAGATGTCGCATATCTGCTTGTTAACGTCTACTGCTGCATATCTCAGCCGATGTGTTTATCATAGACGTAAAACAAGTTGACGTTGCCAAGGAGAATTTCGCGCTTGTGATCCCATACCTTTTTTCTATGAATATTATATCTTGGCAACAGTCACATGTAATAGATAAATGCTGCAAAAGATTTTACTGGACAACCTTACGAACAAAAATGAAATTCCGAATGGAGTGAATTGTCAAGTTACAAAGAAAATACATAAACACAATGCTTGATGTTCTAACATTTCATCATAGTCCTCTCTGTCACATCTCTTCTAACCAGGTTCTTGCAATGAACAAAAGTTGTCACAGCTTCAGTTTCACGTATTTTTTACCATCTAGCACATCACTGCTGTGACCCGCTTTGCGTGGTATCTTATATTCTATCTGACATGGATTATGCTACAAAAATACCAGGTTTTCAATCATTTAGACCTCACAACCCCTCAAATGCACTGGTTTCTGTATAGGTATGAAATGTTCACAATTTGTAAAGACACCGTCAACGCATTCATTCACAATGAGGATACGAAAGTTTTATCTTTGTAAGCGAGTGCCAAACGCATATTGGAATTACGTGTATCTCCTGCAGAGTACGCAGCATGCTACATGTAACAGCAAAGGTAGTCTATTTGCTTTCTTTGAACTTGCTGATTGTGTTGGCAGGTTCGATGCAATATCTAGATTTTATTAACAGACTGGTACGTTATGAAGTAACGTTTGCAGATACCATCAGGACGTATTAAATCCCTTTGAGAAAAAATAAGAACCAAGACCTTGTTGCACTTTTAAGATATCACTAGTAAAAAAAAATATTTAAATTAAGGGCACCTCGGCTGCGATCTACAACCATTCTGATTCGGTGTACGCGTCAAAATTTTTTAAACCTGCATTGAACCATTTCGAATGAAACAAAAACGCTCTCTGAAGAGGAGACAAAAATAACCTTAACATGGTTATATAAAATATTCAGATATTACAAGAATATATGCATGAATACAGGTTTACATAATTTTCATTCGAGATTGATGAATATATATAATATTAGTTCTGCAACAGTTATAGGAACATTGCATAAAAAAGATAAGAAAGTTGTCTCACTTCGACTTTCCTCAGCTACTCACTTTGAGGCTGGGAATATCGTTCGTAGAAACTTGTTGCATCGAGTCTTTTAGGACTGAAAATTGGCTTTGAGAAGTATGCATCTTTATTACGCCAGTTGAGACGATGTTAATGCAATATATAACCAGAACTGTACGAATAGCATGCACGCTATATTGAATGGTGTAAGCGGAAGTGAGGTTTTTAATACATAAAGAACGGAATTTCCTAAACAGCGTTCGTCGATGTCTAAGGCATAGTGTAAACAGTTATATAACTGGATTTCCAATTGAGCGATCAAAACATCCAAGGACAAAGCCATCTTTAAGCTGTCTTGTACATCAACGTTAACAAAGGCGAATGGCGTCATTGGGATTATGCCGCTGAAACTATAAATTGCCAATTGCATGCCGCGTTCTTTTCCAAAAGGATAATGTTGTCATCAGCGCATAACCAAAGTTCTGTCTGGGTTGCCGCCCAGAACTCGTTAGATATCAGTTTGGCCTATCAACCGGGTGATAAACCAGGGGTCCTCGACCAACAAAACCACACCAATGGTACCGGCCCGGAAAATTGGCCCGTTGAGAATTTCTACTGTCTTGGATTTTTCATTGGCTTGATTGGCGTTCTGGCGTTCATTGGAAACAGTTTCGTTCTCTATCTTTTTTTCAAGACCAAAGAGCTGCAGACGCCGACTAACATATTCGTGATTTCTCTAACGATCAGTGACTTAGCTATTTCTGTTGTCGGGAATCCGTTTTCATCGTCGTCCAGTTGGGCGACACACTGGCTGTATGGAGAGGGCGGATGCACCTGGTGAGTGGCAATTGCTTTAATGTTATTACAAAACTGGCTTCAAATTAGTTCTCGGCTTGAGGTTTTCTTTTGCAACTTATTCACGAAAGAGAAAATATGTGTGCAGAATAGATAAATGATAATGTGGAGTTCTATTATGCGTCAGGCAGGCAAGTAATCAGCGCGCGCGCGTGTGTGTGTGTGTGTGTGTGTGAAAGATGCGTTTGTGTACATGTGATTGTGTTGGGCGTGTGTTGTTGATGTATGTTCCCGCATGGGCCATTTGTACACGAATTTTATCAATATCTGTCTACGCTATTATATGGGGGTTATGTGGTAAGCAACGGCTGCGGTACGGTCAATATTTTTTATGCTTTTAAGAACTTTTATTGCTCACATACCCTGTACGCACTACATGGAATATAAGGTGTGAGCACCGTGTACCTTATGCTTCAACATGCAGCTCCTAAGGCGCCGGACTGCCTTCTCTCTGCTGTTGCTTCCACGTCTTTCCCATCAGTTTCACCTCCGAGTTCCAGCCCTCTCCCCCCCCCCCCCCCATGTCGTTCTCTGAGTTCCGCTGATGTTGCAATTCTTTTTACAGCAGTTGTTAGGTCGACAGGTGGCTGACATTTCTGTTAAGAGTAGAATTTTCAATCATGGACACTTTAACTATTAGAAATACTAAGTTGTGACCTGTGGCTTTTGTGATCCGTGACTTTACATTACGGTTTTGCCCAGTTCTTTGATAACAAATATTTTAATTTTCACTTGGCCGGGAATGGTCATTTTCTGAAATCACTGGATTGAAACATTTTGAAAAAACACACAAGCAAACACACACACACACACACACACACACGCACACACTGCTTGTACCAAAGCATCATAACAACAACAACGTGAGCTTTTTTCCCCTTTTTGCTCGGTTTATTGCTCATAAATCCTTGCAATACATTACTGTTCTTCCGGTGCTGGCGACAGATAAATGCACTTTTTTCAAAGGTTTTTGAGCGTGATTGATCGAGTAATAAGGAAAACGTCATGTTAATACTATACAAAACGCCAATTTGAATGACTTTTTTGTGTCGTCACCACGGCCTGCATCTTCCAACCACAGATATAACGCTTGGTTTTACTTTTATCGTTAGGCTGTAGATATTTGCCTTCAACATTGGATATCAGAAGATTAAACAATCAACACGACACAAATTCAACTGACACCCGAAGCATGTGCAGCCATTTCCCCTACGATAAGGGCGAGCTTTCTCTCTCAGACATACACAATGCTTATTTCAAGATTGGATATACATTCATCAATAAATGAAATATTTTTAGTGTTTTAGAATGAATAATTAATTTCTGTCTGCTCCTTCATTTTTAAGAATGAAGAACATCGGTTCAATAATTGCTATATGAAGCCGACACTACCTGTACTGTGCATCATATTTTTTCCTGACAAAGGAACGCCAATCCAATGTAGATGAATAACCGTCATGCAATGATTGGTTTGTAATATCAGATGGTGATCTCTAGGTGTGTAGGCCATTTTATTGCCTAACCCTGTTTTCGGTCAATTACGTGTCGTTTAAAAGGTTCCTACCCTTATCGCGATGTTTTTCCTGTTCAATAATTGTCTTATCCCCCAAAGACTAGAATAATTGCAGCAATAATCGCTCGAGAGAACTTAATCACGCTGGGGACGGAGCATGGGCGGACAATCACCCTTGTTTCATTGATGTTAGAACACAGCTTTGCAGCCAGCCACTAATGACAACTTTGACCAGTGTCAAATTTGTCAGAACTGTGCGAGACACCTGTTCCCTGTGTGGTGATCGGTTTGGCTTACTATGAGGGGATAATATAATTGTTTGCAGTAATATCGTTTTTTAAATACGTTTTTCATAAAATGCGTCTCACGTAAAATAGATTTCTCAAGAAAATAGTTAACTGTAAAAAGCATTTTGATTTTAAGATAACCAGGCAAATATCTCGCAAGTGTTCACAAGCTCGGTGGTTAAGTTCAGCCAATTCTTTTAGTTAGTTAGTTAATTTTATTCCCATATAAGCAAAAGGAATTACATTGCGCGGGCAAAGCTTTTGTTGTATACGGGTTTGACCTTTCTTTTGTTTTTCTTTAATATTTAGTTAAACACATTCTTATACATCTGCATACGTCATTGACAGGGCCATTGAAAACCCTTTCTAAGTTTGTAAAGTCTATGGTAGGGAATTTGTTGCGGTAATCAGCCGTATAAATACAA